AACCTAAATAAATTGGACAATACACTTTTAAACGATAAATTGCAAAAATTGTCAGAAGATTCAATGAACAAATTCTCTGAATGATTTCTTGGTTAGGGCTTTAAAGGGTTAACTCTTTGCTATGCATCAGCTGGTTTGTACAGTGTGTGTCTGATTATGTATGAAGGCACAAGTGTCTATATCTGTGGTGTGGAAGCTCTTCAGATCAGATGCTTTGAAGATGATTTTTAAGATGGGATTAAGATGTCTAATCAAAGGATTCATGCTTTTGTGCTTTGTTGTAATGATAGGACGTGAATAAAGTAGTTTTAGGAATGAAAAGCAGACTTTACAGGGAAATGTGTGTGTGTGTGTGTGTGTGTGTGTGTGTGTGTGTGTGTGTGTGTGTGTGTGTGCGCGCGCGCTCTCGTATCTGGTGAATTGTTACACAAACTGCAGAGTTGACAGTTTTTGTTAAGTTATTAAAAACTGCCTCCATTGTAAAGGGAGAGGCTTCAGACACTAGCTATCTGACAGGCACATCATTTAAGTTGACAGCATTCGGGGTTTGCCAGGACAACAGATGCTGTCTACATTCACTGTAATACAATACAGTCTTGCCTGCTCTACTGACAAGCCAGTGTAGACATAAATATAATATAATCTCACCCAGTAAAACAAGTCTTTCTGTTCTTCTGCAGGTTGAAGCTCCATTCATACCAAAGTGTAGAGGCCCGGGGGACACCAGCAACTTCGACGACTACGAGGAGGAGGAAATCCGTGTTTCTTTAACGGAAAAATGCGCAAAGGAGTTCGCAGAGTTTTAGGACGTGAGAACATGGATATATCAGGGAAAATAAGGGGATCTTTGCACTCTTCTGAAGACTTGGGATGGAGCAGAGACCATCTTTTTCAGATCTACTACATAGTCCCTTCATTCCACAAGGCTGAATGAGGTCGCCATGATCCTTGGGTGCCGATAACCTGTCACCGTCACGTACACCTGCATATTAAAGCAGACACATCACTTTTCTCTTTCTTTCTTTTGGTTTTTTTTTTGTACTTATCCATTTTTTTTACATTGAAGCAGTTAGTCTTGGATGTTGTTATCCCCTATAAAAATGTGATATTTTTCAATTTATGAGGAAAAACTGACAGTGGCCAATAATGATACACACGTTTTGGGTTGTAGGGATTCCCGTCCAGTTGTCAGCAATGTAAATTAAGAGTGTGCATCACATTTAGATTTTGTCTTAGGTGCAAATCTGTCCAGACATTTGACAACTTTGACTGATTAAAGGATGACCAAATGGGAAAACGCTAGGTGACACAAGAAGAGAGGTCCTTTCCATTCTTTGCTTTAAGCCTTAGAGAGCCAAATCCTTAGATGAGCCCCCCTCACCCCCATGTTCACTGTCTCCTTTGTATCGTGACCCAGGCACAGCAAGCCATGCAGAAAATGACAAACCTTGTTACATTAGTAAAAATGTAAAATCCACTTGTTTGTTTGATCTGCTTGGGTCCGCTAGTTACATGTAAAGTTTGATATGTTACAATATTTTGTCGCTGTGTCAAACATTATAGTCATATTGTTCCCATCGGGCCTGCTTATAAAGACCCTCATTACAAGTCTGTGGAACAACGTGGCCTTGGTAAAAGGGAGTAAAGAGAAATCCTTTTAGGATTTTAACTTTTATGTAAAGCTGAGAGGGTCAGTGTGAATAGTGTTGCATCTCCGCGCCTCAACATTTAGTGAACCTTAAAAAAAAAAAGAAGTATAATGTACTCAATGAAAGATGTTTTAAAATCTTTGAACAGGAATGCATAAAAAGGATATTTACCATATTCTCCCTGTTATCGCCCCAAAGAGATTCTTTATTTCATTCTTGTCAAAGAATGTAGATTTGCAACTTATAGGTATGCATATTTGAAAGCTTGATTTCAGTTTTCCTCACAATACACTGGCTAAAATGAAGACTGCTCCTTTGTATCACATGTAACCCTGTTATTGTTAAGCTCATTACATCATACGTATATGCATTGTTTCATATATGTTTTTATTTATACACATTAGAGATGCTAATAAATTTTATTTTTAAAAGTGTTGGAATTTTCTTGCACCCTTTCTTCCATTGTGGATTGCGGATCCTACTGTGTGATCTGGGTAGTAACAAAAGTCCAGAGGCCTCAAGAGAAGATATTTTATTTTAGACGTTTTGAGCAAGTTTGTATCACAATCGTCACAATGAGCACGGATTCCTGATTTGGCATCTTGGTATGAACAGCTTGGACCACAGCAGTGTATATAAAAGATGACCATAGCCACCAGTGACGTGAAACCAGAGTATTAAACACAATGAAAACGGTTTACTGTGGATACTGACTGTGCTTCTCATGGTTTCCGTTCTGCCTGGTTTTCTTTTCCGGAAGTTGTCGTTCGGTTTGGACCTATGCTGTTGCCGTATTTCTATTAGGTACTCGGCGTATGGGTAATGTAGTGTAGCAGGAGACACGTGGGACGCTGCGTTGCCGTCCATTCGAAGTTTACGGAAACATGGCGGGCCTGGAACTGCTGTCTGATCAAGGATACCGTTTAGATGGAAGGAAAGCCACCGAGCTGCGGAAGCTTCAGGCCCGTATGGGTGTGTTCACTCAGGCCGACGGCTCTGCGTATTTAGAGCAGGGGAACACCAAAGCTCTGGCCGTGGTGTACGGTCCCCACGAAGTAAGTGCCGCGGATGGAGGAGAGGGTTAGTGGGGATAAACAATAAAATGCATTTGATTATGGTCATCACACCAGTAACATAAAGTCGCCACATTTTGATATAATATAGTGTAAATACCTGAGAAAGGGGCATTTTGAGCGAGACCCTTTGCTTGTAGCAGTACTTGCACAGTGTGGTATCATTATTAAATTATTGCTCAAAGCAGACGGGATGTGTAGTAAGTTTTATTTAAGGCTCAACAGCATGAAGTATGAATTGAAATCAAAGTTATGATAGCATATACATTCTCTACACTTGTTGTTGAATTCATACCTTGTTTCATGGTATGAATTCAACAACACTTTTCCACTTGAGTTTTTTAGTCAATATTGAGATAATAGCATCACACAGTGGCTGTTGATTTGTTGGTTGCACATCCATAATATTAATCTCTTGTTACGCCACATCCTAAAGGTGCTCCTTTGGAATGAGACATGGTAATTGTAGAGGTCATTTGAGAATATTAAAGAAACCTGTTTGAGGTGTGTGACGTGGGGTGCTATCCTGCTGGAAGTAAACATCCCAAGATGTGATCATAAAGGGATGAACACAGTCAGCAACAATAATCAGGTTGACTCTGTGCAAATGATACGTTTATATTCCATTTGTGTTAACAAGCCGTCGAACAAGTGCACCAAAAAATGTGTCCAGTTGGTGTATATTGCAGCATTTATTTATGTTGGGTGCAGTTAACATTGTTCCAGTGTGTAAGCACAGTAACGTCCAGTCCAAGCTGTACATCAGTTCTTACCTGTCGTTTTCCTCCAGATGCGAGGTTCTCGAAGTCGGACTCTTCATGATCGAGCAGTTATCAACTGCCAGTATAGCATGGCCACGTTCAGCACAGCGGAGAGGAAGAGACGACCACACGGAGACCGCAAATCCACTGAGATGAGCCTCCACCTGAAGCAGACGTTTGAGGCTGCTGTGATGACCCAGCTGTACCCTCGATCTCAAATTGATATCTATGTCAAGGTTCGTGTTGGACTGACGCTTCATCTGGTGAGAGGTATTATTGCAGAAATAGATTTTTTTGTAATTGTTCACAAGCACGTTTCCATCGTCTTCCAACAGATTCTGCAGTCAGACGGAGGGAATTACAGCGTGTGCGTGAATGCTGCCACATTGGCAGTGATTGACGCTGGCATCCCCATGCGGGACTATGTGTGTGCCTGCACTGTGGGGTTTGTGGATGAGACCCCCCTTGCTGACCTGTGCTACGCGGAGGAAAATGGAGGCGTGAGCTCATTGGCTTTAGCGCTTCTGCCCCGAGGTGGACAGATCGCTCTGCTGCAGATGGATGCCAGACTGCATCAGGATCACCTCGAGACTCTGATTGAGGCTGCAATGACTGCTTGTAAAGGTGTGAGCAAAGTGCTGGATGAGGTGGTGAGGCAGCATCTTCAAGAAGCCTCGGTGCTCACCGGAGAGTGACGTGGGACGGCAGCGGGAACATGTGGATTCCAAGTGCAGCTTGAAAGTGTTATTGGACTTTAAATATTTACAAATGATATTAACCTTTAATTCATTTATATCAGTCACTGAATACTTTTGTATGAATGTGATAAATGTAATAATAAATATGTTAGTCATGCATCGTTTCCTTATTGGTTGTTTATTTATGAGGGAGGTATTCAAGCTTGTCTACTTATACGACATCTGCTCCTGCAGCTTCACCTCTCCACCTGCCATTAAAACACGTATCCTCTCTTGTTTCTACTGACCTTCTCTCCAGGACACACCTCCATCACTCCCGGTTACCTTCCCCACCTGCTCCCTACTGTCTACGATGGAAGCTTGTTTGTCCAACTCCATTTTTCTTTTGCGATGTTAACCTTTTCTCAAAAGTTTAAGTTACTAAGTTCTTGAAATTTTGTCTTACTTCTGAGCTCACACATTTTGAGATGCTATATATATATATATAT